GCTCCAGCTCTGGCCAGTCCTCTGCCCAGTTCTTCCCCAGTGGCTGCTCCCCCACTTCCAGAGGCTCTTCCTCCTGTAGCCCCAGCACCTGCCCCTCACCTGCCGCCCCATGCCCCAGGCCCCCAAGACCATCCAAGCCAGCCGCCCATGACAGCCTGCGAGAGGCTCCCATGCCCCCCCACAGGCCTGGGCCCCCTCAGGGAGGAAGAGATGAAGCCGGGGGCAGCCCCCGGCCCCCTCCAGCAGGCCCTCGTCCCTCCAGGGCCAGGGAAAAAGGGCCTTCCCGCTGCTCCTCCCAGGCGCCGAGTTTCCGAGAAGGTCTCTCTGGAGGACCAGAGTGTGGGGCAGGTAGACAAGGGCGTGACAACAGAGGCGGACCAACTGGGTCTCTCCAGGGCTTCCCTGCTCAGCCTGCCTCCCCAGGGGACCTCAGACAGTCCTGGGGACAGGCCTCAGAGGACCACAGAGCAAGGCCAGGAAGCAGTGGCCAAAGCCAGTGATCTGGGCAGCCTGCCAGAGTTACCGAGGAAGAGCCGGCAACCCCCAGTCCCGCCTCCTAGGAAAAAACGGATTTCCCGGCAACTGGCCTTCGTCCTCCCAAGCCCCTTAGAGAGCGCCGAGCTGTCTGCGGAGCAGGTGGCCCCTGAGAAACCCACCCCCAGCCCACCCAGGGAAGACCATAGCCCTGCCTCCCAAGCTGGGACTCAGAGCCTGCAAGCCAAGGCTGGCGCCCGACCCCACAGCACTTCGGAGTTCAAGGGCTCCCTAGCCTCCCTCTCAGACAGTGTGGGAGGACCTGCCTCAGCCACAGATCAAGACTCCTACTCAACCAGCAGCACGGAGGAGGAGCTGGAGCACTTCAACAGCCCCAGTGTGAAGAAGAAACCCTCCATGATCCTGGGCAAGGCACGGCACCGCCTGAGCCTTGTGAGCTTCACCAGCGTCTTCCAGGCCTTTCTGTCCAATGACCGCAAGCTGTACAAGAAGGTGGTGGAGCTGGCCCAGGACAAGGCCTCATACTTCGGCAACCTGGTGCAGGACTACAAAGTCTACAGCCTGGAGATGATGGCGCGCCAGACCTCCAGCACCGAGATGCTGCAGGAGATTCGCACCATGATGACCCAGCTCAAGAGCTACCTGCTGCAGAGCACAGAGCTCAAGGCGCTGGTGGACCCTGCCCTGCACTCCGAGGAGGAGCTGGGTCAGTCCTGGGCATGGATGTGGGGGGGCGGGAGGGAGGAGG